GAGGATCTTGGTGTGTCAAGGGACCTTGTAATAATAGGTCTGGGTGTTCTGGAATTTCCCTTGGAGGTTCCAGAGTCATCTTACTCATCATAGGGATCTAGAAAATGTGTGGCCTTACATTGTCTCCTTTTGAATTTACTTTAGAAAAGTTGAAAACAAGATAAATATGTACATCAGACTGACATTCCAAATTTGAGTCAGAGTATCCTGACCATGAGCATTCTGGTCCCAAAATCTAGAAAAATGCTTCTGGGCATGGTAGTTCCAAGAAGTGGCCATCAGATCTACATAGGGTATTAGTCAAATCTGAGTAAACCCTGAGGATAAGCCGGGACATAGTTGCCATTCCACCTTGTCCACTGTTACTCGTCTCAGGTAATCAGTCATTGCAGTCATTGTATTCTGAGCCCTTGGTTTTTCTTCTGTGCCCTGATCATTACGGGCTGTAATTCCATCATCAATAGGTGGCTGTGAGAGCCACCTTGACGCTTGATATAGGATACAGTGACATTGATATTTGAGCAAATTCGGACCCACTTGTTCTTCAGCAACCCTCTAGAGTCACGAGCCCTGAAAATGACTATTCATTCCATAACATTGGATGGAAATAGTGTTCCTTCCCTTATCCACAGACCTTGTGTAACATGGTCCAGACAATGTTTATTCAATCCTTGAAAAATGGAATCAGAGCTTATCATTGCCCAATGAGGTTCTGTTTACTGGAAACCCAGAGATATATTCTTTTTTCGACTAACCAGGTAAGGTGTAGCTCCACTGATGGTTCCAAGCTTTCTCTTGTTGAACTGAGATAGGAAGTTCCTTTGAGGAATCCTGAGATGCCATTGAGCTCATCTGACAAGTCTGATGGTGGAAGCCAGGATTCCTAGTAGTTGCATCTACTTTATTGCTGTTACCAAGCAAAAATGAAGAAACTGGAAGAGAAAACTTCCACAATCTGTGGAATGGTTCCTGAGATAGGGAAAATGCAGAGTATAGAAATCTCCAACCATAAATGTCATCCTTTGGAACTTCTGAAAGAACAATATCACTCTGCGTGCCTGCCTTCTGTGGGTCTGATGCTACCAGAAGCAGATTGTCCATATAAGGGAACCAGGTGGTGTTCTGGACTCTCAAGACCACCAGTGCACCTTGAGAAAATGTTCTTGGGGCTTCAGTGAGTCCAAATGGTAGGGCACTAAATTGGAAGTTCTTTTCAGAGATAATGGTGATGATCTAGGGCTGTTGGAATGTGATAGGAATGTGAGATATATAGATGTAAGGAAATGTTCTTCCAAATTTCTGAGGATCCAGATCTGATTGACTCCAGCCCAAAGGCTCTGACATTTAGCCTTTTTTGGCCCTTCTTAGGTCCAGTATAGGCTTCCATGTGCCTTTTCTTTTTGCACCAGAAGAGAGGTAAATATTGTCCCTGGAAGCGCTCTTGTTATGGAACCTAAGAAATCACCTCTTCATCTAGAAGGTTTCTTACATATTCCTTCAGTGCTATTCATCTGTCTGAAATCTATTGTTGGTATAGAGACTCCAGTGTCTGAAGAAAACTCCAGTCTATATCCCATCTGGACTATGGATACCCCCCAACTCTCCAGATTGTGATGAGCCCAGGTATGTCTGATCAGAAAAAGTAAGGCTCCTAGTGCTGCAGGACAGACACAAGCTGAAGAGCAATATGACTGCTTAATATGTCTATTAACCTTCAAAGGCATATTTACCAACTGCCACAAGTTACCTCTGGAGTATTCCCAGCAGAGTCAGTAACTTCATGTATCTCAGAAATGCTGGTCACTGGAGGTTCTCTTGTCTGACCATGAGGAGCTGGGTTTCTTGGATCTTCAGTCCTGAGGTACAAATACCTTGCAGTCCTCAGCTGCCTTTTTAATGTATTCATCCAAAGCTTTCCCAAACAGCAGCTCCCCTTCAAATAGAATGGTGTAGAGGGCAGACTTGGAGTCATCATCCCAAAAACAGAACCATAATGCTCTCCTAGCTGCTATAGATAAAGCCATTTGTTAGAGAAAATACCCTAGTTACATCTAGGGAAGCTTCTGTGAAGAAGTCAGTTGTCACCTGAAGACTCCAGACTGCATCTTCAATATTGGCTCTTAATATCTCTCTCCACAGTAGCATTTAGATCTTTAATCACACTTTTCCTGGCTCTAGAAATAGCAGTGAAAGCTACAGCTGGATGATATCCTGCATCAGCAGGCAAATACATTTGGACAAGTCTGCATCGACTTTTGATCCATAGGCTTGCATAAAAAAGCCGAGTTGTCAAGTGGTAGCATGTCCCACAGGCTACCCTGAAAATAGGTGCATCAACCTTAGGTGGTGTAGTCCAGGGTGTGGAAATACCTTCACCACAGTGTAAGGTTTGGCCTCTTTTTCTTACCTCTAAAGCCTCTGAAATACTTTGTAACTTCCTTTGTAAGTCATGCCAGCATGTCATGTGACTGGGCTGGTGTAGGTGATGCTGAAGCGGCTACCTTCTGGAGACAGTCAGTGCATAACCGTTTTCCTTCCACCGCTTTCCCATCACAATCAGAACATGGTGTAGATTCAGACAATACCCTGCAACTTCATTTGTAAGCTATGCCAACATGTCCTGTGGCTGTGCAGGTATAGGTGATGCTGAAGAGGTTACCTTCTCAAGACAGTCAAGGTATAATCATTCCATTGAATTCCCATCACAACCAGAACATTCAGACATGAAACAAACAATAAAATAAATAATATTACATGTGGCAAAGCTCTAAACTACAAAAAGGCACTGTCAAATTCTATTACCAAGAAAACAGTCAAACAGATTAAAAACTGACTGAAAACAGCACTTACAGATATCTAGAAAACCTGCAAATACCTTCCAAATAAGTTTGGAATGTTTACTGTAATTTTTCCTCCATTTTAGGTACTTCCTGGCAATTGCCCTTATCCAAGATGGCTGTTGCAACTTGTATTCCCATAATGCAAGTCATCGTTATTGGGCCCTTTAAGGCACAAACTGCACATGCGCGGGCGTCTTCCATGTGCATTTGCCATTTAGAGACAGATTATGGAGAGAGCTCAGTCTGCCGCATAAATGGCCTCTGAACACCCAGGGAACCGGGAATAAATTGCTGGGACCGAAGGGAAGCATACGAAATAAAGTAAAAGTGCCTAAAAGGTGATTAAAAGGCAACACACAGTGAAAAAGTACCCAGAGTTTAAGGGCACCAGTGCATAAAGTCGCCACTTCATAAAGGCATCACAGTATACAAAAATATATATAAAATACAACACAGGTGCTCCCCAGTGGGCAAACAAATATAAAATTGATTTACCCTAATCGAGATTGTAAGAAGATCCCTTGAGTCTTCAAATATAATACATGGAGAATACAATCTACAAAAGAGGTAGATAAAACCAAAAGATGGTGTAGAATATTTAAAACACCATAAAGTGCGCTAGTATAAAATGCACTCACAGAGTGGAATTAAGTTGCAAACATATAGAGGTCTTTAGGATTCAATGAAGATGGAATGTTCTTCTTTTTAAACCTTAATATAAAGGGAGAGACACACAGGACAGTGCACCAATTTAAAAGATGACAAAATTTTTTATTTAAGTTGCACTCACAAGATATGTAGTAAAATCAAGCGTATCAAAGACTCAGATGAGTCCAACTCCAGTCACACTTCCTGGTCTTGAAGATGTAGCCGGAAACAAAATAAAACAACACAGATACAAAAAATACAAAAAACAATAAACATAAAAAATAATAATAATAAAGTCCAATTTTAGGTATAGCCTTGGTTTCTCCGCCCAACGCATTTCGTCCTGGATAAGGACTTCCTCAGGGGAAATCAAGGTGTAGTGTGTATCCTCCTTCGTCTGCTTCTTATATGAAGAGGTATGAATTCCCGCCGTGCGGGCGCTAATCGTAAGAAAATTTGTGATTGAAATCATCTGTTTCTAATCACACACGGCTTCCGGGTACCAAGCCTCAGTTTCAAACGTGCGTTCCAAAAGGATGTAGTTCCGGCACTGTATGGAACGCATCTTGCGTTCCATGGGCATAAAAACCCGGAAGTCGATGTTCATGTATAGTACAACGAGAAATGAATAAAAGACATTGTAGAAAATTAATCGGAAAAATATAACCCCAATAATGACAAACCATAATACCTTAATAATCTAAGTGAAAAATAAATCTAATCATATCGAAGACCAATGATATAAAAAATATATTATATAAAATATAAAAAGTCCATTTAAAATATATTTTTATATCATTGGTCTTCGATATGATTAGATTTCTTTTTCATTTAGATTATTAATGTATTATGGTTTGTCATGATTGGGGCTATATTTTTCCGATTAATTTTACAGCATGACAGGAGGCTTCATATTTGCTTAACTCTCTTTAATAGAACTCCACAGCAGAACATTAACATAGAGATAAAAACACCAGAGACAAAAAAAATCAGGAATCTATAAAAGGCTTCTCCCAACTAACTATTTCCTCTTTCTTTGCTGCTCCGCAGTCAGTACAGGTCAGAGTACCACTGCCTCCTGTTATATATGGGTGGTTGTGGATATTTTACTATATTTATATGTTTATTACTGTATTGATTTATTTATTTAGAGTGTATTTTTGCATTTACCTACTCAGTGCTCTAGTGATTGATTTATTTATTTAGCTAATCTGTATTTTCTTCACCTACATGCTTAGTGCTGTAGTGATTGCTTGATTGATTGATTTATTTACTCTGTTTTTCTGCATCTACCTTCTAATGGCTGCAGGGATTTATTTGTTTAGAATGTGTTTACATTCCTACTGCCATTATCATTTATTTATTTAGATTGTATTTTTCTGTCCCTACGTTTTTGCTGTAAGGATTTATTTTCTCTTATGACTTTTCTGCATTTTCCTGTTTTGGACCCCCCTGTCTGGGGATTGTTTTTTGCTCAGGTTTGGGGGGGTTTCCTTTTTTCCCTCCCTCCCTCTACCTTTTCCGGGTGGCTTTGCCCCCTTCACTTTTCGTCCGTTTTGCGGCCGCCAGAAAGCGGTCATCTGACTGCTTCCCGTTGCTGACTGCCGGGGACCCCGGAGTAAGACTCCGGCGGTCCCATGTGTTGGATCCCGCCTGCCAGTTTCCATCCACCGAGCGAGATCCTCTGCTTCAACCCCCCCACCCGACCCACACTTCCGCTCGCAGTATGACTGCTGCTGCGGCGTGAGTAGGGGGGGTTACCTTCCCATGCAGTGCGGCGGCCCCAAGCATCCACTTCCCCGCGACCGCGTGGTCGGGTGAGGGCGGGGCCGGCCCGTTACCAGACTTACCACATTAGGTCCGTCGATGGCATGCACATGCTGTAGCTTTGACTGGGACTCAGCTATGACTTGGGCGCATTTCACCCTCAGGCTGTCCTGGCTTTGTGCCCCATGTGGCTAGCAAGTTAGGCTACTGGGGACCATAGTGGATGATATAGATCACAGGCATGCTATATTAAGCTGTGCACAACCCCTCAGGGGTTACAGGCACAATTGGCAGTGTTACCACGTATACTCATCTCCCCCTTTTTGTTTGTTCAGATGATTGCTTGCAGCATTCTATTTTATCATATTGACCAGTGGAGCAACTCTTGTGAGGTAACTCAGTTGGTGAGTTCCCTGACTACAGGTGTACTCAATATGCAAGTTCACGATTTACGGAGTATCAGGCACTATTTAACTGAAGTGAGTTATCTACATTTACACAATGGAATGCTATGTACAGTCACACAGAAGAATGCTATGTACAGTTACACAGTAGAAGGTGTAACGGCTACCCGGGTAGAAGGAGGGTATCTGCCGTTGGAGACGTCCTTTTTCCCTGTAAGCTGCTGTGGAGAAGTAAGCTGGTATAATCCTATCCACGATATCCAGAGTAAGAGTCAGGTTCAGCTGTAACAGGAGCAGAATAACATTCCCAAATAATCCCCTTCCAAGAACGAGACAAGGCTACGTTTTGAAGGGTCAAGAAGATCTGAGGACTGGAACACCCAGCCTGCTTTTATTGGGATCAGGTACACACAGGATACTCCCAGGGGGAGGATAAAAACACCCAATCATATACCTGGTAACACCCCCACGTCTCCTCCCCTCAGATAACATATAACATAATTAAAACGTACAACATTTTACCCCAGTTCTGGATGTTCCCCAAAAACAGGGGGTACAGCTTTAAATCCGGGGTCGCTTGATAGCTCTCATTCAGGGGACCAACATGTCCAAAAATCAGCCCATTCGGATGAATAGTTCGGGAGATACAGAGTTCCAAAGTTTTGACCGACCGCACAGACCAACTAGCCGAAAATAGTTCCATGAGTTTTGGCCTTGCGGTCGGTCTCCGTTCGCCTGGTAAAAAGGTCTGAAATTCTTGCCATCCATTCGAATCTCGGGGTTCGCCGCAATCCCCATAGATGATTGAACATAACTACCGAACGTCCGGTGATTCGGTAGTTTCCGTGCGAACTTCTGGAAGTATGGAGGACTCAGCGGTGTTCGCCTGTTTGCGTATCCGATTTTAGTTCCACGCGTCGACAGGCAAACACCGCTGTTCGCACGTAAGATGGCCGCGGCCACGTGTAAAGTCCCGAAATGGCGGCCACCTATACTTTACACAGGGAATTCATGCGAATCCATTCGAATGGTTGAAATGCACTAAATGTGACGAATTCCTGCTGATTTTGGTTAGTTCACTGGCCCAGGCATACAGCATAGTTCTGTTACACTGCTCCCCTTTTGTGGAACACTCCGGCAGACCCGGATTGACCTTTTTCGGGTCAACTTGGGGCTGTCCGGTCTGCCTCTAAGGTAAAAGTTCTGTTTGCCTGGACAGTCCGTCTGCATTCCCATTGAACCGGCCTGGGCGATACTGGATGGAGAAATTATACGGTTGTAGGGCTAGGCTCCACCTCAGTAGTCGTCCATTGTCCCCAGCCACTCGGTTCAGCCATACTAGAGGGTTATGGTCTGTGATCAGGGTAAATTCCTGACCATAAAGGTAGGGGGTGAGCTTCTTTAGGGCCCAGACCAGGGCTAGACATTCTTTTTCCACTGCCGCATAACTCACTTCCCTGGGCAATAGCTTTCTACTCAGGTATGCGACAGGGTGTTCTCCCCCATCTTCTCCGACCTGGCTTAGCACTGCCCCCAGTCCGTACATGGACGCATCTGTGTGGACGACAAATCTTTTATTAGGGACGGGGGCAGACAAAACGGGTGCGTTGATCAGAGCTTGTTTCAGGGTTCGGAATGCTGCGTCACAGGCGGGAGACCACAGGACTACCCTAGGTAAATTTTTCTTCGTTAAATCGGTCAGAGGTTTGGCGATGGCGCTGTAGTCAGGGACAAATTTTCTGTAGTACCCTGCCGTTCCCAAGAAGGCTAATACCTGGGTCTTAGTGTGAGGGGTGGGCCAATTCGCTACGGCCTCTACCTTGGCGGGTTCTGGTCATTGTTTCCCACACCCCACTCTGTGTCCCAAGTACTGAACTTCAGCCATACCAAAGTTACATTTTTCTGGTTTCAGGGTTAGGCCGGCGGCCCTAATCTGATCCAGCACAGCCTCTACGTGTCGTAGGTGTTCTTCCCATGTCTCACTATAGATCGCAATGTCATCCAGGTACGCGCAAGCGAATTCCTGGAAGCCATCAAGGAGGCGGTCCACTAAGCGCTGAAAGGTAGCTGGGGCATTTTTCATCCCGAAAGGCATGACCTTGAACTGGTACAAGCCAAACGGGGTGACAAACGCCGACTTAGGGATAGCGTCCTTGGCCAGGGGGATCTGCCAGTACCCTTTGCACAAATCGATGGTGGTCAGATAGCGTCCCCTAGCAATACGATCTAATAGTTCGTCTACTCGGGGCATGGGGTATGCGTCTGTCACAGTTCTGTCGTTAAGGCGTCGGTAGTCGACACAAAATCGGGTCGTTCCGTCCTTTTTGGGGACTAGGACGACTGGGGATGCCCAGGGGCTGTCGGAGGGTTCTATAACTCCTAGCTTTAACATTTCCTGAATCTCCTTTCTCATCTCCTCTTTCACGGCTTCGGGAATTCTATAGGGAGTCTGTCGGAGAGGGTTTTGTCCTGGGGTCTCTACGTAATGTGTCGCTAAGGGTGTGTAACCGGGTTCCTGGGAAAACGTCAATCTTTTTGCAGCTAGCATCTGCTGGAGTTGCTCTCTTTCGGTGGGCGTTAGTCGCTCCCCTAGCTGTACAGTGTTCAGCAAGGTTTTAGACTCGGGGTTAGCTAGTAGATCCGGGATGGGGAGACTGTCCGGGTCCTCAGTGGCCGGGATACATATGGCTGCTATGTCTTCGGGCCTTTCCTGGTACTCTTTCAGTAAGTTTATATGGAAGGACTTCTGTATCCTCTCGTCCTTGCTACTGGCAATTACATAGGTGGTGTCACAGATCTGTGCGACCACCTTGTAAGGGCCTTGCCAGGAGGTTTGTAATTTGTTCCCTTTAACGGGTCTAAGTACTAGGACTTTCTGTCCCACCTGGAAGGTTCTCAATCTCGCGCCCCGATCGTACCAATGTTTCTGTCGGCCTTGGGCCGCCTGGAGATGCTCTCGGGCCATCCTGGCTAGGTGCCCCATGCGGTCCCGCATCTCCAGTACATATGGTACGATGGGGACCCCCTCATGTTCTGTCTCTCCCTCCCAGTGCTCTCGGATCAGGTCGAGGGGGCCTCGTACCCGCCGTCCGTAGAGCAATTCGAATGGGGAGAACCCTGTGGATTCTTGCGGCACCTCTCGATATGCAAACAAGAGGTGTGGCAAGAATCGCTCCCAGTCCCTGTATTCCGCTGTAAAGGTACGCAGTAGTTGCTTTAGGGTACCATTAAAGCGTTCACAGAGACCGTTAGTTTGAGGGTGGTACGGGGAACTAAGGAGGGATTGGACACCGCAGGCCTTCCATAACTGCTGAGTTAGGTCTGCGGTGAACTGGGTCCCTCGATCCGACAGGATTTCCCGGGGAAATCCTACTCTGGTGAAGATCCCAACTAGAGCACTGGCGACAGTGTCAGCCTGGATATTCGTCAGAGCGACGGCTTCTGGGTAGCGGGTAGCATAGTCTACTACAGTAAGAATATATTTCTTACCAGAGGGACTGGGGTTAGGTAGGGGTCCCACTAGGTCGACTGCCACCCTGCTAAATGGTTCCTCGATCACTGGCATGGGTAACAGTCGGGCTTTGGGGTGATCCCCTCTCTTTCCCACCCTCTGGCATACATCACAAGTGCTGCAGTAGCGGCGCACATCTTTCGAGATCCCTGGCCAAAAGAAGGTCTGGGTGATCCGGAAGGTTGTGCGGTTACCCCCTAGATGCCCTGCCAACGGAATGTCGTGGCCAATTCGGAGAAGCTCCCACCGGTACTTTCTGGGTACCACTAATTGGCGCTTCTGCGAGGGGGCACAGCCTCTCTTCCTGCCTTCGGTCAATCTGTATAGCCTGTCCCCCTCCCATACAAAACGTTCTCGCTCGTCCCCCCTACTGTCAGCTAGTTCCCTGTACTTTTGGAGGGTGGGGTCCTGCCTAGTTTCCCTCCCAAATTCTTCTGGGGTGTCCCAAGCTATGGGTCTCTCTGTAATGTTAGTGTGGGGTGTCTGCTTGTGGCTTACCTGGGTCTCCCGACCTGTTGTAGGATCGTCCTCGATACGTGTCTGTGAGCGGGTGGTCACGGGGCAAGCACCAGCAGTAGTGGGTAAAAATGCTGAAGCTAGAGGGCCAATATCGTTGCCCAATACGACCTCGGCGGGTAAATTGTCCATGATGCCCACCGTGGTCTTTCCTGACCCGGCTCCCCAATCTAAGTGTATCCTGGCGGTGGGCAAGCGAAAAACAGCTCCCCCTGCGACACGAACAGCCACGGTACGATTTGACACATGTTCTGGTTTTACAAGGTGTTTCTGTATTAGGGTAATGGTAGCGCCAGTGTCTCTTAGGCCTTGTGCTATCTGTCCGTTCACACGCACCTCCTGACGGTGATGCTGACGATTATCTGGGGAAGCTGCTTGTATGGGGTTGGCCTCATATAATATTCCCAGGCACTCTTCAGGGCTTCCTTCAATTTCTAGGCAGTGAGCAGCCGCTGGACGTGGCGGTGTGCTTTCGGTGTTAGGTGGGCGCCTCCAGTTATTATTGGCTGATCCCAACGGGCAATACCGGGCAATATGTCCTGTGTTGCCGCAGCGATGGCCAGGGCCGGATTAACATAGGGGCTGATGGAGCTGCAGCTCCAGGCCCAGGCCCATGGAATAGGCCATAAAAAAAAATTTTTTTTTTACACACTACTCTTAGGTTTGCCTCCTGACTGGTATTTTATTGGCACAGATGGTTTTGAGGCTGCCTGGCCGTGCCGGTATTGCAGTAATACCGGCAATACAAATGCAGGTAATTTTCTCAGAATAAATGGAAATTACTCTCCAATACCAGCACCGGCCAGTAGGGGTCACTGTGTGTGGAGGGAGGCAGGGATAGGAAGTTACAGAATATCCCTGCCTCTCTCTACTACTCACTGATCCGTGGGGGAGCAGCTACACAGCACAGAGAGTCCAGACAGCAGCTCTACAGCTCAGGTAAGTGAGGGATGGGGGAAAGGCAGCAGGGACACATGGGGACACTGAGACACTAGGGGACACATGGGGACACTGAGACACTAAGGGACACAGACACTAGGGGACACATGATGACACATACACTAGGGGACACTGAGACACTAGGACACAGACACTGGGAGACCTGGGAACACTGAGACACTTGGGGACACTGCAAAACATGGGGACACTGAGACACTAGGGGACACTGAGACACTTGGGGACATGGGAACACAGACACTAGGGGACACTGAGACACTAGGACACATGGGGACACAGGCACTGTGAGACCTGGGGACACAGACACTTGGGGACACTGGAAAACATGGGGACACTGAGACACTAGGGGACACATGGGGATGCTGAGACACATGGGGACGCTGTGAGACATAGGGACATTGGGAGACATTGGGACACGGAGACACTATGTCCCCCAGCCAGTGTCCCTAGTGTCTCAGTGTCCCCAAGTCTCCCAGTGTCTGTGTCCCATGTCTCTGTGTGCCTAGTGTCCCCATGTGTCCCAATGTCCCCATGTCTATGCCCACAACTGTCCCCATGTCTCCCCAAGTATCTGTCTCCCAGCCAGTTTCCCCTAGTCTCCCAGTATCCCCTAGTCTCCCAGTGTCCCCTAGTCTCCCAGTGTCTTTGTTCCCATGTCTGTGTCCCTAGTGTCTTAGTGTCCCCAAATGTTTCAGTGTCCCCATGTCTCCCAGTGTCTGTGTCCCTAGTGTCTCAGTGTCCCCATTTCTCCCAGTTTCCCTAAATGTCTCAGTGTCCCCATGTCTCTGTGTCCCCGGGTCTCTCAGTGTCCCCATGTCTCTCAGTGTCCCCAGTATCCTAGTGACATGGGGACACACTGAGACATCGGGACACTGGGAGAAATGGGGACACAGACACTGGGAGACTAGGGGACTGGGTGACATGGGGACACTGACACTGTGATACATAGGGACACTGAGACACTGGGTGACTTGCGAGACTGAGACACTGGGAGACAGGGAGACACTGGGAGCAATCCGTCTATACAGCAGAATCAAACTGTGAGTAGTTTGTTGGTGATTTTACAGAATTTTCACTCCTTGTGATTTACACGCATAACTAATTAATTATACAAATGATTAAGGTTGGTATTTTTTTCCAAGAAAGGTGGCAACCTTAACTACTCTTTGCATACTCTTGCTTAAAGGAGCACTATAGTGTCAGGAACACAATCATGTATTTCTTACCCTATTATGTTAAAACCACCACCCTGGCCCCTTCTTCCCTCCCTAAATATAGTAAAATATTACTTGTATTCAATTCTGCAGCTGCTGGCTCAGAAGTGGTGGTCTGAGCAAATTACAATACTTCCCCATAGGATTGGCTGAGACTGTCAACTAGGCAGATCAGGGGCAGAGCCAGCACAAGTCCAACATAGCCCTGGCCAATCAGCATCTCCTCATAAAGATAAATTGAATCAATGCATCTCTATGAGGAAAGTTCAGTGTCTGCATGCAGAGGGTGGAGACACTGAATGGCAGTGCTGCACACTAGGCAGTACTGCCCCAGGAAGCACCTCTAGCAGCCATCTAAGGAGCGGCCAGTGGAGTTATTTTCTCTGAAAAGACAGTGTTTTCTGCAAAAAGCCTGAATGGAATGATTCTACTTACCAGAACAAATACAATAAGCTGTAGTTGTTCTGGTGACTATAGTGTCCCTTTAAGTTTGGAAGCTTAAGAGGGATGTATGGGAACAAAACTTGTGTGCACTGGCTGACATTAAAGTTAGTTTAGGTAATGCAGACGTTGGTCTCTCTAACACTGTGGCATGTCCCCATTCTTCTACACTCACTACAGACACCTTTTCTCTGTCTCAGACTATACCAGGAACTTCTGCCTGCTAGTAAGAAGGTAAGGAGATAAGTGGACCAGCGAGTGCTAGGGGACAGTCCTTAGAAAGAATGGAGTGAGCGCATCATTAGACGCATTTATGCCACGCTTAGGGTGCTGCCTGCATAGTATGCCCTTAGTTGGACAGCCTGCAGGATTGGCAGGCAGCCTGACATGCATTCATGCCAGGCTGACCTTCCAATTCTTTGGACAAACATTCCCCCTTTTTGGGCATGTTCACCCCTTTTGGCAGGTCTTGTCACGTGATTCGCACCAGTGGCCCACCCTTTTACCCCGCCCATTGACTTCCTGCTTCACTGGACACTGCTGTTAGGGGTTATGGATTTACTTGAAAGATGAAAGCATAAATTAGAGAGAAATTAGCATAGAGTATGTGTTTTCTTATAGCTGCATCCTATGAGTTTCCCTCCAGCACCATCTCCATCAGATACATGACGCTTGGGAGGTATGATTGTTTTAGTGTTTTTGGTCGATAAGATTCCGTAATTAGGCCCATCATAATTGTCAGCACCAGGCCCACTGTGCTCTTAATCCGGCCCTGGCGATGGCACGTTACTTTGTAAGATTCCCGGGGATGGTTGTTATGCCCCTGGGGACGTGGAGGCCCTGGGGGTACTGGGGCCCGAAATTCTGTGCGTGCAGGGTAGGTTGTAGTGCGGGCCTCTGCTCTAGGGGCTGGTCGTGTGTTACTTTGGCTCACCTTCCTTGTCTCTGCATACTCATCTGCTAGTCGCGCTGCCTCAGTTAAATTGGCAGGGCGCCGGTCTCTTACCCAGTCCTGTATATCTGCAGCCAGATCTTGAAAGAAGTGTTCCATCAGGAACAACTGTAATATTTCTTCTCCGGTGTTAGCATTGCACCCTCGCACCCAGTGTGTTGCCACCCGTTGTATCTTGTTTGCCCATTCCATGTGGGAGTCCACTGCCTTCTTTTTGGACTCCCGGAAGCGACGGCGATATGCTTCTGGGGTGACCGCATATCGGGTGAGTAGTGCAGCTTTCACCCGTTGATACTGCGTTATATCTTCCGTAGTAAGTGCCCGAAAAGCCTCATTTGCTTTTCCTGAGAGCTTTCCAGCCAGAATAGTAACCCATTGGTCTGGTGGTACTTGGTGTAGCGAGCATTGTCTCTCAAAGTCCGCTAAATATCCGTCAATTTCTTCTTCATTCTCTACAAACGCTTTAAATGCAGTGAACGGTATTTTCCTCCCTGTAGCAGCGGGTGGGGGGTAGGAACTGCCTGTGTAATGGGCTGTCTAGCTCTTACCAGTTCCGCTTCTTGTCCCCTCTTAGTTTGTATCTCCTCCCTTGTTTCCCGGAGCAGCTGGTTTATTAGCTCCGTGGATCTTTCTGGATACCAAGCTAATCTCCGCTGTACAATGGCAGAAATTTCATCGTCCTCGCTGACAGGTGCAAGAGGTTCTGTTACCTCCATGGACCTATCCATTTCGTCCAGTTCTAGTAGGTCAGCTATCAGCTCCCTCCGTGGTCTGTTGCTGGCACTCCTACCACGACTCTCCAATAAATCCTTTAATGTGGGTCTTTTCAGCTTGGCGTACTGAGCCTCCATTCAGCACTTGTTCTCTGGATAAAAGGACCATCCCACCGCTGCCAACCAATGTAACGGCTACCCGGGTAGAAGGAGGGTATCTGCCGTTGGAGACGTCCTTTTTCCCTGTAAGCTGCTGTGGAGAAGTAAGCTGGTATAATCCTATCCACGATATCCAGAGTAAGAGTCAGGTTCAGCTGTAACAGGAGCAGAATAACATTCCCAAATAATCCCCTTCCAAGAACGAGACAAGGCTACGTTTTGAAGGGTCAAGAAGATCTGAGGACTGGAACACCCAGCCTGCTTTTATTGGGATCAGGTACACACAGGATACTCCCAGGGGGAGGATAAAAACACCCAATCATATACCTGGTAACACCCCCACGTCTCCTCCCCTCAGATAACATATAACATAATTAAAACGTACAACATTTTACCCCAGTTCTGGATGTTCCCCAAAAACAGGGGGTACAGCTTTAAATCTGGGGTCGCTTGATAGCTCTCATTCAGGGGACCAACATGTCCAAAAATCAGCCCATTCGGATGAATAGTTCGGGAGATACAGAGTTCCAAAGTTTTGACCGACCGCACAGACCAACTAGCCGAAAATAGTTCCATGAGTTTTGGCCTTGCGGTCGGTCTCCGTTCGCCTGGTAAAAAGGTCTGAAATTCTTGCCATCCATTCGAATCTCGGGGTTCGCCGCAATCCCCATAGATGATTGAACATAACTACCGAACGTCCGGTGATTCGGTAGTTTCCGTGCGAACTTCTGGAAGTATGGAGGACTCAGCGGTGTTCGCCTGTTTGCGTATCCGATTTTAGTTCCACGCGTCGACAGGCAAACACCGCTGTTCGCACGTAAGATGGCCGCGGCCACGTGTAAAGTCCCGAAATGGCGGCCACCTATACTTTACACAGGGAATTCATGCGAATCCATTCGAATGGTTGAAATGCACTAAATGTGACGAATTCCTGCTGATTTTGGTTAGTTCACTGGCCCAGGCATACAGCATAGTTCTGTTACAGAAGGCTATGTACAGTTACACAGTAATATATTATGTACAGTTACACAGGAGAACGCTATGTACAGTTACACAGGAGAATGCTATGTACAGTTACACAGAAGAGCGTTACGCACAAATACACAGAAGAATGTTACGTACAGTTACACAGTAGAGTGTTATGTACAGTTACACAGAAGAGCGTTAGGTACGGTTACACAGAAAAGCGTTATGTACGGTTACACAGAAGAGTGTTATGTACGGTTACACAGAAGAAGGTTACGTACAGTTACACAGAGGAGTGTGAATTACAGTTACACAGAAGTGTGTTATGTGCTATTAATCTGAAGAAGTGTTATGTACGTCTTATCTGAAGAGCGAAATATACATTTTATCGGAAGAATGGAATGCGCAGTTCCTCACCTGTACATCTCTGAAGGTCCTGACTTGTTTGTGCCCCAGGACTTGACCAGCTTTGTCCGTGTCTTACTGATTGGCCTGCTCTGCCTGTGCCCCGTTGATTGGCCTGCTTTGTCTGTGCCCCATTGATTGGCCTGCTTTGTCTGTGCCCCATTGATCTGGCCTGTGCTGTCTGTGCCAGAATGTCTGCATCCCAAGCCTACTGCCACATACTCACACTTGTGCATTGCATGCGCTACCCAACTTGCCTCAGTCACTATATGGGGTGCTGCCCCTATCTCCCTGCCGGTGACACTTGTCCTCTATACTCCTTGAGGTTGCTTTGCCTGCGACCGCTGCACAGGAGAACCCTTATCCGGGTTAACAGCGCAGACAAGGACTACTATGGCAGTGACCGCCTCCATGGAATTAGGCTTTAGCCAGGGTCCTCCCTTAAGCTTATAGGGAGCGTAACGCTAGAGGGCCCACCTTTAAAATGGCAGGCGACTTGAATGAGTCAGACTCTCCTAGAGGAGAGCAGGCAAGGGCACATAAGCACTACTGGAAGGGTGAAGGCCCTGAACCAGTGACTTGAATGAGTCAGACTCTCCTAGAGGAGAGCAGGCAAGTGCGCATGAGCGCTACTTGAAGGGTGAATGCCCTGGACCAGGCTCCCAGAAAGTTAAGACGCCGAGGAGCGGCTAGCCCCTCTGCAATCGGCCAGACAGCCCTGTCTATATGGCGCAGGGGAGGCGATGACCACCGGACGCGTCAGTGACAACCTTCTTAACAAGGCAGATGACTTGAAGGAGTCGGACTCTCCGAGAGGAGAGCAGGCAAGGGCGCATAAGCACTATGGGCAGGGTGAAGGCCCGGAACCAGACGCCCGGAAAGATTAGACTCCGGAGAAGTGTCTAGCCCGGATATGATCGGCCTTGACAGCCAGATGACACTGCCTATGTGGAACAGGGGACTGACATATTATTTAGATTAGGTAGCTCGTACAACTGTTGTCGGTGGGCCTCTTTCTGCTTAGTATTCCCTTTACGATTCCTGAGGATGGGTATTCACCTCCCCAGTGGGGACACCCATTTTTGTCATGCTCCTATGGTGGGTTCTGTCGGGTTTTGCCCATTCACTGACTCTGGATTTATTTCCGTTATTATAACTTGTTTTTCTTTCAGATGCGTTCGGCTGTTTGGACCTTAGTTGTCTATCAGCCTTAGTCGGACCCGAGGGTCATATTCTTACTTTGGTAGTGCTCCCACTTTTTAGGCAGTGTTCGATGTCACCGTTTGTTTAAATGGTTCTCCCCTTTTTCTCGCCCTTAATGTACTGCTTGGTTGTGGTTGGCATTGGCGGGGCGTATAGGTTTTTTTCGGTTTACTTTAGTCAGTAACACAGCGACTTCAGGTACCGACATGGTGGGCGTTTTTCTCCAAGACATTATGCTTTTCTGCCAGTTAAGAGGAGCTATCTTCGCAGAGTTTAAGTTGGTACGGCGCATCATGTTTCTCTGGTCTTTGTTGTCCGAGCATTAAAACAGCAAATATGAAGCCTCCTGTCATGCTATAAAATTGTAGATTATACTAGCTTTAGTGTAACTATAATCTTCATTTTATTAATGACAGGAGGAGAATATTTCCCTCCCAGTTTCTCCCTCCCCTTGTTGTTTGTTGGTTTGACTGACTTGTTGTTTATTCACCTGGCCTCCTGGGCTAGGTTGGTTATCTGGGGGAGTTGGAGTTTATCTGGGATATGGTACCGTCAGTATTTTATGATGGGGATTCAGGTTTTTTCACTATCTGGGATATTATACTGTCAGTATTTACGATGGGGATTCATGTTTTCTAAGTACATTTCATTCGCTAATCAGTGTTTTCAACTCTATTTATCTCATTTCAATTTAATGGTTTGGCTACAATTCTTAAATCCGACTACTCTACAAGATGAAGGTCAACCCACTGGTTCCACATTTCCAATTTCGGATGGCATTCATCGTTATGTTATGTTTTTTTTCTCCTGTTATTGTATTTGTGGTGTATCGTTCATGTACTTTATTTGTCGCAGCGTGAAAGAGGAAATAGTAAGTTGGGAGAAGCCTTTTATAGATTCCTGATTTTTTGTCTCTGGTGTTTTTATCTCTACGTTAATGTGCTGCTGTAGAGTTCTAGTAAAGAGAGACTTAAGCAAATATCCGCCTCCTGTCATTAATAAAATTAAGATTATAGTTACACTAAAGCTAGTATAATCTACAATTTTCTTCTATGTCTTTTATTCATTTCTCGTTGTACTATACATGGACATGGACTTCCGGGTTTTTATGCCCATGGAACGCAAGATGCGTTCCATACAGTGCCGGAACTACATCCTTTTGGAACGCACGTTTGAAACTGAGGCTTGGTACCCGGAAGCCGCGTTTGTTTAGAAACAGATTACTTCAATCACAAATTTTCTTACGATTGGCGCCCGCACGGCGGGAATTCATACCTCAACATATAAAAAGCAGACGAAGGAGGATACACACTACACCTTGATTTCCCCTGAGGAAGTCCTTATCCAGGACGAAATGCGTTGGGCGGAGAAACCAAGGCTATACCTAAAATTGGACTTTATTATTATTATTTTTTATGTTTATTGTTTTTTGTATTTTTTGTATCTGTGTTGTTTTATTTTGTTTCCGGCTACATCTTCAAGACCAGGAAGTGTGACTGGAGTTGGACTCATCTGAGTCTTTGATACGCTTGATTTTACTACATATCTTGTGAGTGCAACTTAAATACATTTTTTGGTCATCTTTTAAATTGGTGCACTATGTCCTGTGTGTCTCTCCCTTTATATTAAAGTTTAAAAAGAAGAACATTCGATCTTCATTGAATCCTAAAGACCTCTATATATTTGCAACTTAATTCCACTCTGTGAGTGCATTTTATACTAGCACACTTTATGGTGTTTTAAATATTCTACATCATCTTTTGGTTTTATCTACCTCTTTTGTAGATTGTATTCTGCATGTATCACAGTATACAAGCATTACAGCATAAGGCACAGCGCAGCTAAGCGGACAAGGGCACATGTAGGAGTGTGGGCATAGATGCATGGGATTGGTTGAGAAAGAGTGTGTGGGTGGGATTATGTTCTGTGTAAGTTAGTGTGGGGGAGGTCTTACCTCAGTGCCACTTGGCATTCGGGCCAGCAAACAGTTTCCCGCCCGCCCTATTGGTATATTTCGTCACAGCTAGCCGGGGGTATGTCCTTGCCAATTGAGTTTTAGTGGTTACGTTTAAGTATATGGAATGAGATGAACAAGTTTTTTTAGATCTCAACCTCCCCTGCTTCAAAAGGTTAAACATTAGGTTGCCTGAGGTGTCGTGCCCATCGAGCATGGATAAGGTCGGCTGATGGCGGGCATTGGAAATATATGATTTTTATGACGAGGGGGGAGGTGAGATGAAGTGGTGATTAGGAACCACTGTATGTTTATTGGCAAGGACGGTTGGGTCACTGTATAACACTATGGGTGGAGTTATATATGTATATACGTTAATTTATGCTTATTTATGTCTAACGTTTTGGTTACAGAAAGAAGAGATTTAATAAACAAAGTTATGGATGTGTTATGCAGTAATTTAGTTTGTGATAATAAATGCTGTGGCCTGTTCATCCATACTAAATGGTCTGTCGTTATTGGGGGGGTAAATGGGTTTAGATTTGTGCTAGGCTGCATCGCGATTCCCCATTACGTACATACATGCATAATGCACCACAGTTTGAAGAAATCAAAGTGTTAAAGTACCATTGTATAAAGGCTCCACAGTATAAAAGTACCATAGTATAAAAACTCCACAATATAAAGAGACCATATTATAAAGGCACCCTAAAATAGCAAATACAAATTAAGTAATGAAGAGAAAAAGAAAAACATACGTGCCCATAAGAAACTGGAGCAAAATGGCTGTAGGACAGGAAAAAGACTGAGAACATTAGGAATGGAACCTCCTTTTAAAGCCTTTGGTGTTTTTCCTGTCATTTTGGCTGTAAGGGGCGGAGCTAACCCATTTGTATATGCTGCCATGATTAGCCAGGAAATATATATACACTCACACACATATACACACATACATGTGGAGAACATTTATAAATTAACAAACTTCAGATTTCCAGCAACCTTGTGAAATATGCTAAAGTCTATCTGTTCTAGATATGTCATTGTAACAATATCTCATGATGCTAGAATGATTACAAAACTGTAGTTTTTTTTAAAATATTTATTTTTAAAATAATTTATAATAAGCAATTTGATTGGAATTTAAATATTTCACAATTTTTTTTTTAATTCTTTATTTTTGTGGTGCAAAGAATTAATAGACTTTCTTGCAATGTCCCAACAGCAATAGCAAGGATGGCAATATACACGTTTTAACAAGTACAGGGCATAGAAAATTACTGCACATAGTTTTGTTTAAGTGGCTAGGTCACATGTAGGTCTAACGTATTCATATTGTACAAAAACATCCTGTCACCAATATTAGCTGCCTATACATTTGCGTGTTTATGTGGAAACTACTTGTGTAAGCCAGTGTGGGAGCAGGGTTGTTGGTGAGCGAGAGCTAAACTGGAGACTAAGTGTGTGTATAAAATTGGTTGACAGCGATCATATCTTGTGATGTCATGTATAGGGGGGGGGGGATTTTTCATTGTAAAATTTTACCTTTGGTTGAGGGTGGTCGTATTTGTAATGGAATATTGCCTTAGTATACATGCTAAAGTAAAGATAACTGATGGCCTGAAATTAACTGAAAACTAAACTTTGCCAATAAACAGTGGATAACAAGTTGAGTTCCCCATATGGGTTTCGGCGTTGATTCTTACGCTCCGGTGTGGTCACCGGTTCACCCGGTTGCTCAGGTAACATCCGCTGTGCCGGAGGCTGGCTGTTGCCCTCTAGGTGTGAATGTTTTTGCTGTAGCAGGATTCCATTTATGGGATGCTCGCTCTGCCACGTCTTGTCCAGTGGTGACCAGAGAGTCCTGAGGTAGGCCCAGAGTAGCTAGCAGCCCGGCCGCTTCCATAAGATCACAAATGTCCTGTGTAACATTGTCCTTAAGGACCTGGAGCCTATGCACCATTTGCCAGCGGTATGGTATCTTGTGGTAGTCAGTCATCTTGGGCCTAACCACACTGCTAGTCTTGCGCAGGAGGTCGCAGATGTGCAGGCCCGGACGTGGCTTGTCAGGCTTTAATTTATTTATTTTTCATTCCATCACGATGCCTGAGTATCAGGAGGCACCGCTTGAGCAGGTATGGAGTATTTTGTCACTATAAGCATTTTTAAGTGACAGAGACCTTTTAACAAACATTATAGACAGAAATGTTTATTTTGAAAGGCTAACTCAAATTAACTTGTTCTATAAGAAGAGCCGATTTAGCTCTACTTCCATGAACAGCTAAAAATGGTTGGCACTAAAGCTTGATCAATGACCTGTATAAAAGTTGGTGTATCCTTTACCAACTTAAACTAAAATGACTTGTTTCATTCTCATGCACACAAGAACGGTCTGCAATCTCAGATAGGTAAGATGTCACTGTCATACCACTCACTGTCTGCAATCAGGGGTAAGTCACTTTCTCAGAAGCAAGATGAGGCAAAGGCCGCTGGCTGCACTATCTGCTACTCTCTGCCTGCTTGTTTTGCTTATCTTTGCTTGCTTTGATCCTCTCTGCTTTTGCTCCTCTTTGTCTTTGCTCTGCTCTTCTTCCTCTCTGCTTTTGCTCTGCTCCTGCTTCTCTCTGATATTTCTCAGCTCTTGCACCTCTCTGATTTAGCTCTGCTCCTCTCTGTTTTTGCTCTGCTCTTGCTCCTCTCTGATTCTGCTCTGCTCCTTTCTTAATTTTTTCTGCTCTTGCTCCTTTCTTCCTGCTTGCTCCTCTCTATTTGCTCTGCTCTTGATAATCTGCTTGCTTTCTCTACTCCTCTCTACTTGCTCTACAGCAGATTCCACTGCTTGTTGGTTTGTATAAATTGGCTTCCATCAGTTTGTTTGTACGCACTAACATTACTTACGATTCATACAACATGTCTGTTTTAGTGTTCAGTTAAACATGGAGCGTTCAGTTGTTATGCGGCTCTTTGCTCCTCTTTGAGGCCATTCCTATAATTACAACCGTATGCCCTATTATAGTGAAAAGTATTCCCCGGGTCTATGCGAACATTCTCATAATTGTATGTATATGCTTAATGAGCTGCTGGTCTCTAGAGGCTCTAAGGGAATACTGCACGTTTAAAAAACTTTCTGATCAAAATGCTTTTCTATTTAAATTTACTTTAGCAGCGCATTGTTGATGATTCTGTTCTGCCTATTAGATGTTGTAACAAAGATGTCTTTTATAGGTTGCCATGCTTGAACCTTCTTTTTGCTGTGCCTCTGAGGGTTTTTCAAGTGTCATAGATTCTGGTTGACTCAATGGGTCTTTTGTTACTTCTGTCAATTAGTACTTAGTTATGCTTTCTTGGAGGTTCTGATGTTGGTTGTATTATATTACAGATTGAAGTCACTTTGCTATTCAGCTATCCTCTCCTCTTTTGCGATTTCTTCGATTTCTCATCGGTTAGTGGTTTTTAGATTTGTCTTGGGATCCACGATCTGACCTTCACTGCCTATTTAACCTAATATGTTTCTTTCTATGTTATTAGGTACTAGGCCCTACTGGTTCTACTACCACTTACGCTTTGCTGGTTCATTTTAGGCCTAGTCTATAGGCTGGTAGGTATCCTATATTATTTTGTTTTTCTGCTATTTAACAGTCACAATCTGGGTACTACAACATTGCTATTACTCTCGCAGGTATTGCTCGGGTTTCAACTACTCTGTCCTACTCTATACCCATCAGATATGACCGGTATGTGAATTCAGTGGTTGTTACACCTCCCCCCACCATCCTGCAGCTGGTACTAGGGTGAGAATGTGTCTGTAATTGGTAAATTCATTGGTCCACTACAGAACCCAAACATTATCAACCAAGCACACATGGTGACAGGTAATATTATATATACACAAATCTAGTTATCAGTGATTCGAACAACAGCTGAGATTTAGAGGACTGCTAGAGTGTGATACATTAGCAGCCTAGGAATGACTGTGATACTGTTGAGGGAGTGACAGCTATGCCTAACGCAATACACTGCCACACTCCCTGTGACCTATCAAGGCAGATTGTCAGCACCCTGCCTTGGTGTGCACCCTGTACATTCATATAAATAACACACTATTAATCAATATTTTTCATGCTTATTGAAAAGAATCATGGCTAGTTCTCTGTATTTCAGTTTGTAATATAAGAACCCGTGTAAAATCCATGGTTTTCACATATATTGTTTTATATGTAGCATATGGTGCATTCAATGTCCATGTCGTAACACAGAGAAATGGCTGCAGAAATGTTATCAGAGCAGCTGCTCCAGTGTTGATGTTAATATGGCCCAGAACCTTTAACCTTAACCATGCTTCCTCTGACCTTTCCACCTGCTCCATTTTCCAATTGTTCATTCATAGAAACATAGAAACATAGAAACATAGAATGTGACGGCAGATAAGAACCATTCGGCCCATCTAGTCTGCCCATTTCATGCTGGTTTTCACAAGACAGTTGTAAAACTTGATGCACAACAAAAGTTTCTGTGAGGTGTAGTTCATATAAAAGCATTTTTATATGTACTATAGGCTAATAAATGAAGTGCAATGAAGAAACACCTTTCCTGCCCATAAAGTACTGCTGTGCAGAAAATTATGGGAAAAAGCCGTCACTTTGAAACATCCCATAAAAACGTAGTAGCGGATTCTGACTGGTTGAATACTTCTTTGTTTTGCAAAGCCTACAAATTGCCTATATAGCCTTGTCTATGTAAAGCCTGCGAATGTTTTGCAAATGAGGGTATTTGTTAATATTTTGCTATTTTTACAGCTACATTATAATATACTAGTTGCTCTTGTATACATTTTGAATATATTATCAATGCTTTGCATTAAAAAAAATCAGTTATTTCAGCCTTCAATTCCTATGTGATAGAAATTGCTCCCGCTGCATTGCAGATGAGCAATCAGGGAAATATCGGAAACACAAATATTTAAACATTACAACAGCTCAGAGCATATGCACAACTTTTGCACTTATTTTCATAAAATTGTCTGGAGGAACTGCATGATTTTTGTGAGTATGCTCTTCTGTTTATGACTTAAAATAAATGTATGTTTTACAGTCCTGGTATTTCTCATGGATGTTTCAAGATGTGGTAATCCTGCAAGACTTTAATGTTTCTTTTTTTCCCAAAAATACAAGGTAATGTGAAATCTGAATTGCATGGTATATTCTAAATCAGTCTGACGTTGAAATTGGTTTCTGTATGCCTCTTTAAACATGTTTATTATTTATTTTATACTTCAGTTACTAATCAATTATACTTTAAACTAAAAATAAAAAAATAAATAGAGCAGATTCAGGAAATAAGATTTTCCATTATCTACAAAGTTCATTTAACATATTCTCAGGGAGGTCATTTTGTCACAAAGCCCATGGTCATTAACACATTTTAATCAGATAGTGCTTTTTAATTTCCTGTGTTCTTTACAGAAATTCATAATCAATTTTATTTTTTTGCAGACGTAGAGGATGCAGAAGGTAAACAAGCATTAATTGCTTTTTCTTTTTTTTAATGCAATCATAAACCAGCCTATATTATCAAAATTAATCATTACATTTTCAATCATTGAAAACATAATATTTTTTAAACGTAATAAGCATTAACAATACACAGTGCAGTTTATATAGCAAAGTTACCATTCACCTCTATTATAGTCATAATATAAGACGTGAAAAATGTTTATGCTCTGTTTGATATAATGTGTTATTGCTAGGTTTATGGAGCTACAGGAGCCATAAATTCTTGGTTGTCTCTTAATTGTAGAATATGGAACGTTTTGCTTTCTTGATAATCTTTGGTACTATACTATATATTTTCTTTTTATAGAAATATGTTGCTTACAAATGCACATGTATAATTTAATATGCACACTGGTGATTTGAAGACATTTACTTTAAATTAAACACAATTCTTCGGGATATAAATCTGTTAGCACTGTGCACATTGGAAAAGGAAAAGGCATTTATCTTATGATGACAAATGAACACTTGAGGGAAAATAAATTAGGTATTGAAGCAGGAAATCACACTGGTTGGTAATGGTAATATGCAAAATAGAATAAGTTAGCAAAACACCACATGGAGATACAGTTACAGAAATAAAAGTAGAACTTTATTAAACATACCTACATGTATCGCTTCATCTTTCACAGCTTAAATGTGGATGGACTGAGAGCACATATGTCTTTAGTTTAATAAAATCACAGTCAAGCACACATATCTGTATTAATACAGCTGGTACTAACAATGAAATAAAGGCAAATCATTTATACGTGTATCCAGCACTGATTGCAAGACTCCAAGATCTTCTTAGCTCTCTCTCTGTCTGACCTAGGTACTTTGCAGTAAATTTGGATTACAATAAGACACTATTCCAAAATGTACTGAAGAATCAACTTCTCTGCATAAGTTGGAATAATTACTTTAAAAAAAGAAACATACACAAGCAAGTAAAATACAGTTGACATTTTATATATATGATGGTCAAAGAAGAGGAGCACCAAGATGTCAGGAGAGATATTTCACCGCCTTGTCATACCATGCTGCCACAATAGGGTAAATCTCGAATAGAGCTGTGGTTTCTTTAACCCCTTAGTGATCAGATCGTTTTCAATTTTCTTACCATTAAGGACAATATATAATATGTTTGGGTACAGTAAATGAGTAACAGCTAAACACAAACAACGCAGAAATGTTAAAGAGCCCTGGTCCTTAACAGTAAGAAAATTGAAAAACAGTCTGGTTACTAAGGGGTTAAACACTTATATTTGTGCTCAGCATTGTCTCCTGGGTATAACAATGTACAGGTTTTATGTTGTTTTGAAAAGTTACAGGGTCAATATATGGCTTGCCCAGTTCAGTTTGCCAGGTTTGCTGGGTCTGTGTTGCCTTTTGAGACCATATGGTAGCCCAGGAATGTGAAATAACACCATTATGGCATACCATTTTCAAATGTAGACAGCCCATG